TTGTTTGTTTTCGATGTGTAGGGCATCTTTAAGTATCTTTTTTAGGGCTTGTTTGGTGGAGGTACGTTGTTTCAGTTTTTTTTTTTTTTTTGCTATGGAAAGTTTTTATTTGACCGTTGGATATGGAGGAGAGTATAGCTGAGTACAGTATTCTTGGTTGATAGTTGTTTGTCTTTAGAGCATGGCATACATCATTCCAGGCTCTTCTTGCTTTAATTGTCTCTGCTGAGAAATCTGAGATGATTCTAATTGGTTTCCCTTTATAGGGAATTTAACTTTTCTACTTGATAGCTTTATGGATCTTTTCCTTGTTCTGAATTGATCCTGTGCGGATTATCATTTGATGGTAGGATGTCGTATTCTGCTCTGTTCTATTTGGGGTTCTAAATGCTTCTTGTATCTGAATAGACCTATCTTTGTGCATTTTTGGGAAGTTCTCTGCTAGTATCCTGTTAAACAAATTTCCAGGCCATTAACTTCTGTGTCTAGGTGCTCCTCTACATCCATTATCCTCAGGTTAGGCCTTCTGATGGTGTCTTCCAAGTGTTGAATAGATCTATCATATTTCTTGGATTTACCTTGGATAGTTGTATGTTCTTTCTCTATAATATCTAGGCTGTCTTCAATGCCAGAGATTTGATCTTCCGCATGGTCTAACCTGCTGTGAAGAATTTCTACTTTGCTTTTTATTTCTTTTCCTTCTAATTGATCGGGTTTGATGGCTTCAAATTCTTTGTTGGCTTTTTGCTTTAGATCTTGTATGAACTTCTTTACTTCCTTAATTTGGTGTTCAGTGTTTATTCTCAAATCACTTAGTTGATTGGTTATGGTTTCCTTGGACTCTCATTCCTTCTGTCATGTTCCATTCATTATTCCCTTTGTGGTCTCCCTGAATTCTTTCAGCTGTCTGCTTATGGATTCCATGAATATCACTATTGATATTTGTCTATTCTTGTATCCCTCTTGCAATTGTTGTATTACTCTTTGATTAGCATCCTAATGTTCACACAATTCCTGTAGTTCTCTTTGACTGTTCTCAACCTGTTCACGCAATTCCTTCATTACTCTTTGAGTGTTCTCAAGCTGCTCACAAAATCCCTTTATCCATCTTTGAGTAGCTTCTTCATGCTCATGAGATTCTCGTATTGATCTTTTGTTTGCCTCCTCTCTCTCCCTATCCCGCTCACACTGAGTCCTTTGCTGGTTTTCAATCTTTTCATTTTCCACGTTTACCAGTAGTGTTTGTAGAGCTTTTTGGGAACTCTCCTCTGGATTATTCATTATCTGTTCTGTCACCTGATTCTCACGAGTGGGTGTTGAGATATATGGACTTGCCATTTTTCTTCTGTTTTACCGACTTGTTCTGCCCATTTGGTATGAAAGCAACAATTTTGTGCTAGAACTCTATTTTAAGGCATCAACCAGAGTCCTGTAGTTGCACAGTTAAAAGGCTGCAAATACAATTTAGTTCAACAGATACAGTCTATTCAACATCAAAGAGCTATGGATTAATGGGCTAAGACCCACAAGGAAGTATTTGGCAACCCAGAAATTATGAGGTTTAGGGGGAAATGTAGGGAAAAATATGATTAGAGGGATGTGGAAATGTAAAAGGAGAGTGAAAATAACCAGAGAAGGAATCTCAGAGAGTGAAATGGATTGGACAGAATGATGGGAGAGAGAGAAAAAAAGAGAGAAGAAAAAAATTGAAAAAGAAAAATTTAAATTTAAAAAGTGAAACTTAAAAATTATTTAATTTTAAACGTGAAATTATTGAAGAATGGGGATAGGATGTGAGGAGGCAAGGGATAGAAAGGAGACAAGAAAAACTAAAAAAATAAAAATTCTTAAAAAATTATACAGGTATAAAGAGATAATACTGCTATTAAGGAATTTAAGTCTAAGAGGTTTTGAAATGACTAATAAATTTGTGGATTAAGTGTGTACACAATGTGGAATAAGGTCTAATATTTGGTGACAGGTATATCTGAGGATGAGCAGAACAGCAATTAAATCACTGAAAAAAGAAGAAAAGGAATGAAAAATGAAAAGAATGAGAAAAAAGAAAAAAGGACCAAAAAGTCAGTAGAGTTTTTAAAAAAAGCACATACATATACACCTAAAATAAAAATTTTAAGAGAAAAAGAGGATTAAGAAACAATATATTTTAAAAAATTATAAATGAAAAATAAGGTACAAAAAATGAATTCTTTAATATTTTTGGGGGGTCAGAGTGGATGGGAAGGTCCTCTATCTCCCTTGTTTCATGTTTGTAACCAGCCTCTTGGTGGAGTCTCTGTTCTGCTTGTGGTGTTTTGTTTTCCTGTGGCTTGATTAGTTTCTGAAGTCAGTTTGTTTGAGCAGGCAGAAAAATGCTCAGATTTACCCAGGATTTTATGATCCTCCTCCCAGGCTAGTTCAGTGGGAGTTAGATCTGCTTTGAGTATCACAAGAGGGAGATGGCTGTTTCCTCTAGTTTGGAGATGCTGTGATGAGGCTAGGTTCTGGGAAGACTTTGAGGACTTTGAGCAAACAGTAGCTTTTCCCTGAGAGTCTAGCTTCTGAGATACTCACAGAGCCCAGCCTAGAGCCATTCTCAGGGTTTCTGTTTACTGAAATTTCAATTGATTTTCTAGGCTTTTGTAGGAAGGGGCAGCCTCTGACTGTTTGGCCACTGAAAAAAGTCACTCGTCCGTGTGGGGATGTTCCTCTGCCTGGGCTGGGTGTCTTTCCCCTGGGTGGAGCTGAGCCTGGCAGTTCAGGTTAGGTTCCTGTGGCCTGCTAAATGACTCTTTTGTTTTCTTCCAAGGCCTGAGTTGGAGCTAGGTGCTCAGCCAGGCCTTTGTTAGTATCAAAGATGAAGATCTCTGGTAGTGTGTTGGGGTGGCCTTCCCTCATTTGCTCCCTGAGAAGGAGTGAGGATGTCAGGGTTCTACTCATGCCAGAGTCTTGGTTCCTGGGTCTTCTTTGGTCTGTGATCTGCAGAATGAAGATATCTGCTCCTTGTCAGTTCTTGCTGGTATTGAGTAGAATCTGCTCACCTGCTGCATCTAGCGCCATTGTCCTGGACTTTCTCTGTTGTAGGTTTGGGGGCTATGGCTGCCACTGCTGCAGCAGATGTGGCTACCAGAAAGTGCTCAGATCTGTTTCCTTGTCTGGATTTTCCTTCTCTGGCCAAACTCTCTGTACTGTGATGGCACACTTGGTGTGATTCTCTGGCCTAGGACTCTTCACTAGAACATTAAAACGGCTTTCTATGTGAGAGCTTGTTTACCCTCCAGCTTCTTCTCTGCCAACTTCCCAGAATCTCCTATGTTATCTTATCGTTGACAATGTATGAGCTTGGGTCTCTACCTGAATTATGACCTCAGGGTACAGGAGAGCTTCCTTGTTCCTTAGTGTACCCTGCATGTGCATCTGGTTCAGATTTGGGGGAGCAATGACAGAAAGTTTCATTGATTCATACTGGTATGTCTAGGAACAATGGTCACAGCTGGATATTAGGGATTCCTTCTCCTTGCTAAGCTTAGCCAAGTTATTGCTTGCCATGGTTGTGAGTGAGCAGTAAGGATGTAGGTGGAGAAGGAGCTTATGACTGTGAAACTCATAATGAAGGGGGATTGTTTGTCCTGAAATAGAATCCCTTTTCAGTAAATAGACATATTTACAATGCATGTAAGATATTTTAAGAGATTGAGCCCCAAAGACCCTAGAAAGTAGCATGGTTAAAAAAGCTTGTTCCATAACATTCAAATTTTGTACATTAATGCCAATTATTTCAAAGTCTGTTGAATTATCTACAAGAGTGAAAAGTTTTTACCTTTTCTTCCTAGAGCAAGTTTGGTAAGAGCAAGTCAGATATTCAATGTAGTGTCTGAGATAGAATAAAAGGCATGACAAATGTGGAAAATGGAGATGAGTGAGAAAGTTCCAGTTGGAATTAAAGAAGCATTTATTTCAGTCATTAGGTCCTGGTGCTAGATTGAAGGGATTCATATGGAGAGCTCTGTGTCCTCAGCACATTTGGGCCAAAGCAAAGCAAAGGGAAATTATTGTGTTGCAAGTCTACGTTAACTGACCTTAATTCGTCATTTTTATATTGTCTTAGATTTATTAGTATATATATGTAAAGATGGGAATAATTATGATATTTTTATACATATTTGTGATTTCTTATAAAATTCACCTCATCCCTCTTTCTTGTTTCACCCACAACTTTTCATTATTGTGTTTATTCATACATGAGAAATATGTAATATTTTGGGAGAATTCACAGGAATCTTTTGAACAAGAATCAGTAAAATTTTTATATTTTGTTACACTTTCCTTTTTCCCTTCTTTTTTGCCTATGTCCTTCATCCATTTCACCATGAACTTCACTCACTGCCATTAATCTTTTCTCTGCCTCCCATCCATCCATCTATTCACCCATATCTACCTTCTCTTCGTCCCTAAATTTCAAAGTGTAACTATGTGTAATTTCATTTAAAACCACACAGAAGAAAATAGAAAGGAATACTACTGAGTGCAGCATTAAAACATTTACAAGAGCTGATGGCCAGTGGCTAATGTCTGTAATCCTTGATACTCAGGTGTCTGGTATCTGAGGTTCATGGTTCAAAGTCAGCATGAGCAGGAAAGTCTGTGATACTCCCACTTCCAATTAACCACTAAAAAGTTGGAAGTGGAGCTGTGGCTCAAATAGTAAAGCACTAGCTTTGAGTGCTATTGAGAAAGGCAACAGTGAAAAGAAATTGAGAATGGGGATAATAAGTTTAAGTGTAGATTAAATAGGAGGAACCAAAAGTAGACAAGAAAATTTCAAATTTAAATGGCTATCACCACCACTTATGACTTACACTAGTAGAAAAATGAGTAATAGACCCTTATTGATTGAAGTAAAAATTTCCACAATGAAAACTAATAAAACAATGAAAAGTTTAGATTTAAATCAGATATTATGTATACTAAGGAAACATAGAAGTTTATTCAAAAGAAAGCTAATTCCTCCTAGTACGTTTTTTATCCCTGAAGTCACGAAGAGAATTTCTATTTGACATTAACAAAACGTTGTAACACTTTGGGGCAAAAATGCAGCCTAGGAGCCCTGCACCAGAGGCCAAGATGGAGAAGACCTCCACAACCACCATGACCTTCCCCTTGGCACTGTGGTAGACAGGCAAGAAGGTGAGCCACACACTGCAGAACACCAGCATGCTGAAGGTCAGGAGCTTGGCTTCATTGAAGGTGTCAGGCAGATTCCTGGCCAGAAAAGCAACAGTGAAGCTGGCCAGGGCCAGGGAGCCCAGGTATCCCAGGACACAGTAGAAGGCAGTGAGGGAGCCCTTGTTGCACAGGATGATGATGTGGCCATGTTCAGAGTATGTATCTGTGTCAACGAAGGGAGGAGAGGTCCCCAGCCAGACTCCACAGAGCACCACCTGGATGAGGGTGCAGATGGGGATGATGAAGTTAGGAGCCCCGGATACCAGCAGCCACCTAATCCTTCTCCCTGGAGAAGTGGCTTTGAAGGCCAGGACTACAGTCACCGTTTTGGCCAACACTGTGGAAACAGCCACAGTGAAGACAATCCCAAATGTGATGTGCTGCAGTCTGCAGTTAACTGTGTTGGGGCGACCAATAAAGAGCAAGGAGCAGAGGAAACAGAAGATGAGGGAGATGAGCAAGGTGTAGCTGAGAGTCCGGTTATTGGCCTTGACGATAGCAGAGTCTTGATGTTTTGCAAATATCCCAAGAACAGCAGCAGTTAGCATAGAGAAGCAGAGAGCCATGCAGGCCAGAGCCATGCCCAAGGGATCTCCAAAAGCCAGGAAACTTGCAGTTCTCATGAGGCACTTATTTCTCTGTGTGTTGGCATACTGATGATCTGCACACTTCACACACTGGTCCATATCTGGAAAGCAGTGCAAGCTACCATTAGTTCTTGATAGGAACTTCTTTTCTTACAAGAAATTAGGAAATTGTTCCCTTAGATGTAATCTTAGCATGTTATTATTAAGTGACACAAACACACTTTATTTCTTTTCAAAACCAAAACTCACTCTCCTATTTCCATCTTCTTTATTCAGGCTGTTTTAGTGAACTATTTTTCTTTAAGTGATTATTATATGTGTTGATAATGTGCCAATTGTGGCATTCTAATCTCTTTTCAACTATTTCCAATACCTTTTCTTAACACTTATGAACAGTTTAAGTGTGCCCTATTCTGCAGTCTGGTGAAGATTGTAAATCATGCAGCTTACACTTTCCTACATGTCTTTGTAAAACATTTATTTTATCCATGTTACACATCCTTGAATTCTTCTCATTCTGTTTTTTCTCTCCAACTTATCTGTGAAGCAGTAGGAACAGAGAAACCACTCTTGGACAGTTTATAGTCATGCTCACTTCTTGAAGTGAATCCACCCTTCTGAATACTTGCTCTATGCCCTGAACAGTTCTGGGCAGAGAGAAATAAATGTGCAAGATCTGTATTTCCTGTGTGAACAAAATGTATTTTTAAGGTAAGCACTAGCCTAATAAGCCTCACATTTACTTTCATTTTAGGGTTTACACTTGTCTTAACCCTTAGTGATAAGAGGGATTTCTAGAGCTAAGTTTGCCTGCAATAGAGTAGAAAAGTTTACTAAAATATATAATTCAAGCCCATGATCTATCACATTTCACCTAACAATACTACCACATGTCAAAATTAAATTACTAACAGAGAGATGAATAAAAGACTCTGCAATCATAATGCACAAGTTTTGCATTGAATGTTTGGTTGAAGAAAACTGAGGATAGATGGAAAATTTCTTCTGAAGTCACAGAATTACCTGTGCCATTAGCAATTGCATTCTGTGGACAAGGTGTACAGTCAAAGCAACAGGTAGCCTTTTCCTCCTGAGGAGATTTCCTGAATCCTGGACCACAAGTCTCACTGCAGACAGAGTGAGGAGTCTGAGGAAAATCAGGTATGTGTCTGTAACTCTTCAGACTTTCATAGCTAAAACTCTAAACATGCATTGTTTTAAAGAACTGGTCAAGCACAATGTTTTCTAGCAGCTACGTGCTGTCAATTAATTGAATTGTTACAGATTCCATATCCCATGATTCCTAAAGTCTTAATGTGCTAAAACCTTGATTTTTAGCCTGTTGAACTATTAAACAGTGTGGGATCTTGAAAAGATTGTATCATATGGCATGGAAATACATTTGAATGTACATTCCTACGGAACTTGTTTAATTCATGTCATTATTTTATGTCTCCTACTCATCTTTAACAAGGGATAAAGCCTGGAGGAAACTTGCCTTTGATAGGCTCATTATATTTTGCTCTTAGGTTTGCAGTGACCATGAAGTATGAATCTTATTACTGGTGCTTTCAGTGACTCCTTTAGCCAAATATGCCTAAATAGTCAACTAATCATTGAATGAAACTTCTACAGAAGAAATACAATAAATATCTCCACCATATGAAGTGATTCATCGGATACTTTATCACAGAGTAGGAATCCCACTAGAAAACTACTACTATTTTTGAATTTATTACAATGTTCTGAATCAAGAAGTAGGAACACATTTAATGTTTTTAGTTCTGATCCTGGAGCTTGAAGTCAAGATCTAGGCCCTGGCCTTGAGCACATTTTGCTCAAAGTTATCATTCCACTACTTGTGTGAAAGCTCCACTTCCAGATTTTGGGTGGTTCATTGGAGATAATAGTCTCACAGAATTTCCTTGTTGGGCTGACCTTAAACAAGGATATTAAAGTCTCAGCTATCTGAGTAACTAGGTATAAATTTAAAGGATGACTTTGCTTATTTGTATGTCCTTAAAATTACTAGGATTAGATCCTGCTCACCTCTGTGGTTCCTATGGCCCATTCCACCATATCTTCAGATAAAGACAGTTGGTTACCATGGAGAGCATATGGAGAAAACTTTCCTACTTTCACCTCAAGTTCAAGACCTTCTGGAAAATTCCAAATGTTCAGAATGTCATACTCTGGCTCCAATTTCCTTTTCTCATCCAAAATCACTTGATGTCCAACAGAATTGTGAAACTGGATGTTCTTCAGAAAATGGAGCAGCTGAAGAAAGACATCATATTATGGTGAAGTACACCCCAAAGGTAAGACAGAAAATCTGAATTAAGAAACACTCCTCATTGCCTTTAATCCCAGATTCTGAATTCAAGCATAGCACCAAGAATGATTGAAGTGTCTGTCTAAACAATCTATGGAAGAATAAAAATAATTTTCTGAATCCTGGTCACTCAGAAAAGGAGTACAAGCCTTTGTTCAAGAGAAACCTAAACTATATAGCCACGAATGAGACAATTCTCAGTTGCATAGCTAGAGTTTATCAGAAACTCTATTTTTATTAATGTCTATAGTTTGAGATTTTTCAATTGTTATTACCAAAGCTGAGTGAAACTAGATCTCATACGGAAAATAGGAAACATTCTCTTCAGTATGTCATCCGTTGGTGTTCCTGAAGAAATATAGGGAAAATTCTAATTTAGTTTTCAAAAGATTAGCTATGGGCACGTTGTGGTTATTTATAAGTAAATGAATTTATAAGCTGATTACTGGTTACTCACACCTGTAATCCCAGTTACTCAGGAGGGTGAGCTATGAGTATCTTAAATTAAACCAGACTGGGCTTAAAAGTTTGTGGGACTTGTACAAACAGCTGAGACATTCAATTTCACAGAATAGCACACCTTCTAGGAAGTGCCTCTGCTTATCGTGTGTGCCATCCACATAGTTGAAATTACCTGTGTAGGGGGAAGCAGTGTCCCTTTTGTATTTTCCAGTACTTGAACTTCTGTCTGATGAAGAAGCATCTCATGGAGAGCCTGGGTCACGGCATACACAGCATTGTATATATCGTAACTGTTTCCAGACATAGTCATGTCTAAAACGTGCCCAGGCAAGCAATCCAAAGAGGCCTCATGAACACAGTTGTCCCATGTCACACAGTCAGACTCAACATCTGAGCAATTAAAAGACAGAAACCAGATCCTAGCAAGAAAAATGTCTTCTGGGTATTTGGAAGGATTAACTGCCTTGACAAAATCTGTGAATCCCGAAACATCTTCATGATGATGTAAAAAAATGAGAGGTACATGCAATGAGCCTAGCATGAAATATCTCCTTTTCATGGTGAAATCCCACTGTGAGTTCATGATTCAAACTCTGCCTTTTATTAAAAGTTGCTCAATGCACACGATTAATTCTATTAGTATACCATTATCACCATGTATGATGAAGACATTTGCTGAAGATTTATTTATCTCGTCATAAACTGCCATGGCTTCGAGTACATGTGATATTGATTGGCTTGAGATTACTTGCTCATAGGCTACACAAACTCTGTTCTTGGCCATCTCTTCTTTCAATTCAGCAAGAATCCATGAATCATTCTCATCATGTAAGTTTAACAGTCCCACCCAATTCCAGCTGAAGTGAAGCAGTAAGGAGACCATGGCAGTGGCTATTGATGTATCCTTTGGGGCCATCTGATAGAGAGCAGGAAACTTGTGATAGTCACTCAGGACATGAGAAAAAGGCCCAAAGGTAATCTAAAGGGAAAGGAAATTGGATGCATTACGAATTAGAGCATTGCCATCCATCAAAATTTGAGTCTTGATGTGTGTGAAGAAGCAATTGAAGTAGGTCAAAGGTAGATTTCATTTTAGCTTTTGAGTAGTTGTATAAAATATAAATTGTAAAATGTCTCTTGATCTTTCTCACTATTTCCATAAACTCCTCCCATCTATATCAACCCAATCCACTCCTTGACTTTCCTAATTCCATTTTCACATTTGTAGATTGAATATTCTGTGCTTTCCCACACATTTATTCCCTATTCATCTCATATTTTTCCTCAACACATACTCTTCTCAGATATTTTTCAGGTTTATGGTGTTTATTTTTTGTACTGTCAGTAGATAAGAAAAATCACAGCATCGAGTTCCATCTGTATGTATATCATGCTTTAATCATATATATATGTGTGTGTGTGTGTGTGTGTGTGTATATATATATATATATATATATATATGAAGCTATGTGTGTGTTACGTGTTCATATTTTAGGTCTAGCTCTGACATATGAGAGAACATATTTCCCCACCTCAATCTGAGCCTGACTTACTTCATTCAAGATAATATCTTTGTGTGTGTGTGTGTGTGTGTGTGTGTGTGTGTATGTGTGTGTATGAGTGTGCACATACATGCCAGAAGAGGGGCACAAACTCATGTCCTCATGCACTTTGTTCAATTTTTCTCTCAAGACTTGGCTACCACTTGAGCCAACTTGTTGATCTACCAGCTTGTTGCTGCTTAATTTCAGATTCAAGTTTCCTGAATAGCTAGAATTACTGGTGTGGGCCATTTGTACTCTGCTCAACATATCTTCACAGTGGCAAGTCATTTTCCATTTACTCATTCTTTCAAAGGGGATAATTGGTAAGGCTTGCAACAATAAATTATCTATTTTTCTTCTGTAACTTTTCCATATCCTTTTCCAATCAGGAGATATATATCTATATATATCTTTGACTACTTATTCTTTGATACCACAAAATTTGATAGATTTATAAATCCTGTCTCTTCTATCATTCTCTTATAACACCTGAAATATTACCAAAGTATACCTTTTTATAACTTTTGACACCACCATTCTCACCTGTGGAAATTTGTAGAGTCCCAGCAATGTTCCAATTTTGTCAGATGTTAATCCTAGTGGTCCTGTAAGTGCTGCTATAGACCTGCTGTCTCCCATGCAGGTGTAGTTTGGAATCTCGTACTTCCCAAAGAGCCAAATGAAGGGATTCTTAAGCATTGACCAAGCTCTGTATTGATCATCATAGACGTCAAATCCCAGAGTCCAGTTACTTAAAATATCAGGGTTTTTGTTGATCTCCTCTATAGCAAAAGCCAAAGCCAACACAAACTGATAGTTCTTGAAGTCAAGCCTGCATAATTAGCATAGACATATAGGAGGATTATTTAAAAACTTATGACTTTAGTATAATAAATGCTTGCTTCTTTGCCAATGAATTGTTTAAATTATTATCCCAATTGGCATGAATATGAATGTAGTGTGTTATGGTTGTATAGAGAATTAGAAGAAGACATGAAGGGCATTTGTCATGAATACGATTCAGAAACTCAGTTAAGTAAAGAGAGAGAGAGCTTGCTTCCCCACTCCACCCAAACCCTGTTGGAATAGATTTTTATGAGACAGGAAATATTCTGTTGCCTTTATCTTAGGGCAACGAGCTACACCTGTGTGAAAAATAAATCTTGTGGCTTTGTCACCCATTTTATTTTTAAATGTTTTTATTTTGAGAATACTGTATGGAGGACGAGTTACAGTTGCAGAAGCAAGGTCATGAGTACATTCCTTATAAAGCATTATTGTCTCCTCCTTTGTTTTCCCCCTACCATCTTTCCCTCACAACTCCTCTCTCCTCCCCCCCCTCCCCACCTAAATTGAAATGTTTGCTTTTCCGCAAGCGTCTTCTACATCTCATTGTTGCAGTGGGTCAACCTGTATGTCTGTTTAAACAATTTATTTTTTCCCTTCCTTTCCACAAATTATACCAACATTAAATACAGTGAAAACAAGGGTTATACCATGGCGGAGAAATATACAAGCAACAAAAAATCACGTTGTACCTTATAAATACATTAGAAACAATTGTAAGAAATGAAAAACCATTTATATCCTTGCCTTGTGATTAATTTGGTTAACACCGTCTTATCTGACCCTTTCTGTTTGTTTCAGAGTATATGTACTAGTTATTGAAAATAAGGGAAAACATTGGACCCATATTTCTTTGGGCCTGGCTTACTTTACGTATTATAATTTTTTCCATTTCCTAACAAATGAGGCAATGTCATTCTTTCTGATGGAGGCATAGAATTCCATTGTGTATATATGCCACATTTTCGTGATCCATTCATCTACTGAGGTGCATCTGGGTTGGTTCTATATCTTCGCTATGGTAAATAATGCTGCCATAAACATAGTTGTGCTGGTAACTTTAGTATGGTCTTGTTTGTGATCATTTGGCTAAATGCCCAAAAGGGTGATTGCTGAGTCATAGGGGAGCTCTATGTGTTGTCTTTTGAGGAACCTTCATACTGATTTCAAAGTGGTTGAACAAGTTTACACTCCCACCAACAATGCAGTAGGGTTCCCTTCTGTCCATAACCCTCCAGCATCTGTTTTTATTAGAGTTTTTGATTATAGCCCTTCTAACTAGATTGAGTTGGTATCTCAATGCTGGAGGGGATGTGGACAGAAGGGAACCTTACTGCATTGTTGGTGGGAGTGTAAGCTTCTTCAACCACTTTCAAAAGACTCTAGAGCTCCCCTATGATTGAGCAATCCCACTTTTGGGCATTTACCCAAATGATCACAAACAAGACCATATTGAAGCTACCAGCACAACTATGTTTCTGGCAGTATGATTTACCATAGTGAAGATATAGAACCAACCCAGATGTACCTCAGTAGATGAATGGATCACGAAAATGTGGTGTATATGTACACAATGGAATTCTATGGCTCCATCAGAAAGAATTACATTGCCCCATTTGTTAGGAAATGGAAAGAATTGGAAAAATTTTACTAAGTGAAGTAAGCCAAGCCCCAAAAACATAGATCCCATGGTTTCTCTTATCTGCAATAACTATGTCTGAGACAAGCAGAAATTGCCAAGTAAGTTGATGTTAGGCGAAATGAACCCCAGGATAAGGACTCAAGTGTTTTTTCTTTCTTGTGATTGGTTTTAACATAATTATAAGATTATTTCTTTGTTGCTTTTTATATCTCTCCCCCACAGTATAACCCCTGTTTTCACTGTATTTGATGTTGGTATAATTTGTGGAGGGAAAGGGAAAAAACAAATTGTTAAAATAGCCATACAGTTGGACCCATTGCAACAATGAGATGTATAAGACCTCATGTCGAAAATTGAACTTTGGTTTGACTTTCATTTCTTTTATAGCTAGAGAGGTTGAGCATTTCTTCCTGTGTCTATTAGCCATTCTTATTTCCTCTTCAGAAAAAGTGTCTCTTGAAATCTTTAGCCCACTTGTTTATTGGGTGGTTGTTTCTTTGAGGATTTGTTGTTGGGGGATTTAATTTTTTGAGTTCCAATATATTTTAGATATGACACCTCTGTCCATTTTATGGTAGTGAAGATCTTCTTCCAATCCTTGGGCTTTCTATTGATCTTGCTAGTTATGTCCTTTGATTTGTTGTCTTTCTGGGTCTGTACTAAGAAAATTTTGTCCTGTGCCAAAGAGACCTAGGGTTACTCCTATTCTGACCTGTAATGTTTTCAGGGTGTTTGCATTGACTCCAAGTCTTTGTTCTATTTGGAATTGATTTTGGTGCAGGGTGATATATAAGGATCTAGTTTTAGTTTTCTACAAGTGATTAACCAATTTTGCCAGAAACATTTACTGAAGAGGCTGTTTTTCTTCAATTCTATGTTTTTTAAGCTCTCTTATTAAAAATTAGATGGCTATAGGTCTGTGGGTTCATTTCTGTCACCCAGATATCATATGTTTATATGGCAGGTCAGGCTAATCAATCAATGTTCAATTTAAGAGCAACTTTCAGAAGCAAAATATTATTTGTGAAATATCCTGTAGCAAGCTGTGCTCATATACCCAGCATATTGAACTGCTCTTACTGCAATAACCAGCAGAACATGAGCTCTAATACCTGGTGAGGGAATTTTATTTTTGTTTATGTAACAAAACAAAAGGGATGCATCCAATTCCAGGGAACTCGTTATGGAGAGAGGAACCCACTACATGAGGGTTGAGGAGAGAATTGTAAACAAGCTATATATTCAAATCCCAATTCCAAGGCCACCATGGTATATTGC